CGCACTCCGGTACCGGCCTGCTGGGAGACAACGGCGCGGCCCGTTTGGAGCAAAGCTTCATGCTCGAGGGCAAACAGCTCAGCCTACGAAGCTCTTCACACTCCTTCTTCTTCTCTTTTTTATATTCCTGCTTTTCTTTCCCCTCTTCGAGCCTGCCTTCCCCGGCGCCTGCGGAGCTCTCCGCGCCCCTTCTCCCTCTCCTTCCCGGGGCTGACCTACCCCCCTTCGTGGCCGGGCACAAAAGCAGCGCCTGAACCGCAGGCAGCTCAGCCAGGCAGCTCACTTTGCGACGGACCAAGAGAGAAAAACGTACTTTTCCAGCGGATGCAAAACACGCCTGCCTCTACCTTCTTCCACATATAGGACAGATTGATTGTTGAACAAGCTAATAAAAACGCAGCATACTTTGGCTTTACTCCTCGATTTAAATAAATTCAGTGCCGGATAATGAGAAGATTCTTCTGCTGTATTCCTAGCTGAATTCAATTCTTTCCAAATAATAAGTATTTACATATATTTCTAGCGAAAACCGTTCGCTATATATACCTAAAAAAAAAAAAAAACCGCTGCTGTGAACCCGGGAAGGTCGATTCAGCACAGCCCCGCGAGTAGACCATCAAGATGTTATCTTTGACCGTCTTCCCGAAAGCGCTTAGCAATATACCCGCTCCGCAATGCCATCTGCCCAGGGCCAACAAACCCCAAGTTTCACACGGCAGCACAAACATCCCCAGCGGCTTCTGTACCCCGGCGAGAGAGATGCTGAAGACGTTTGTTCTTTTTCTGACGACCTGGAAGAAACCGAACTGGCTGTAAGAACTTAACGAACCTCGAAAGGAATCATCCACCTCCGATTTCTTTTCCCATTCCTCACGGACACTTTGCAAGGACCAGCAGCAGTTCCGTTGTAAGGCTGAGAGTTGACATTATCAGCTACTTCCAGAATAAATAAGTGTAGTTTGATGAGTGTGTACAATCCTGTTTCAGGTTCAGTGTTAGTCTTTGTGTGAATTAATTCACACAGTACATTATAAGTAACTCACATAGTTGAGGGAATCATGCCAAGATACATATTCAGTCGCATGGAGAGGTCTCTTTACATTATAATGTATTTAGTTCCACCGATGCTTTAAAAAGTAATCCAGAGCAGGACAGGCACAGCGTGGCACTAGCCAGCACAGAAATCCCGTGCAGCCTTCTCACCCACTGCAGTTTAGCATGGACTAAGTTAGGACAGATAGGAGGTAAAACGTGTGGCTGACTGGAGTGTGAGAATACACCATTTATTCATTTCCATTAATTACTCGAGGTCAAATAAAGAAGAGCAAACGTTTTCGAGGGAGGTGTCCAAGACAAATCACGGCGATTTGCAGACTTTTTTTGGTGTTGTTTTAACACTATAGTGTTCCGCTCACTATAATCTTTTATAGACCCCCAAAGACTTTCAATGAGAACAAGATGTTTGTCCTTTAATACCACATTATCAACAAAGCTCATTTGCTATTTTTCAATGAATTATCCCTTTTATTTATTTATTTATTTATTTGATCAACTATAAATGAAAGTTATTCGTGTATATAAAACTGAAGTTTTTACTGTTGAAATTGAACTGTACATGTTTACTACAGGAAAAAAATATCAACTCTTGTTTAACAAGACATTATACATCAATAAGCAATAACCTTGTGGAGGATTTGCAATCACCTGGTCTATAAAAACAAGCAGGACAAATAACAGCAATTTATATGCAAAAGTAATGATTTAATGACTATAAGCAAGACAAAGCAATAGAATTGTGCTTCTTTTGCAGACTGGAGACAATGAAATGTTTAACTACAATTTTCCCGTACAAACATGAAACAATATCCATATAGAATAAACACCCTCACAAATGTATAACTGATGGGTGATGAACACACACGAAGTTCGACCAAAGCAAAGCACAAACTGAAAAGTGTTCTGGGCTGTTCATATTTTATGTTGGAAAAGTTCCTTCTACTTAAAAAAAAAAAAAATACCCTTAAAAACCTCTAATAAAATGCTCCTATGTGCAGGCCATTAAAGAGGAGGCATTCTCCACAATTTATTGGAAATATTAAAGTACCTGTTAAATTTTAATGAAGTTAGTACTGTACCATTTACATATATATTAAAACAAATTTAGATAAAATGCCTTCATCCAGCGAATTGCTGGTTCCTTAAAATTTATACCAAATAGTTTATGGCTTCTATAATGATCCCATGTGCTTTTAAAAACACAGTCCCACCACACAAAATAATAAAAATGTAATCAAACAGGTCAATTACTTCCATGTCCCTCTTTTTTTTTTCTTCACTGCATCACTTCAACAACATTTGGTAACGTAAAAATATATCACTTGAAAAAAGACAAAGCCAGTAAAAACCTTTTAAGATTGCCAATTGCCTCCAGGTTATCAGAGACTTGAATGTGCTTTCCCAATACTGTAGCTGTCACACAGAGAGTGTTTCTTGCAGTATGAGCAAAGCTCAAACAAGCGGCATCTGCAAGGGTCGAACCAGAAATTTAACAACCGTATCATGAGTGCATGAAACACAATATTTTCTTTATAGTATTTATAAATATATCATACAATACTGTTTCCTGTTATGTCATATACCAATATGGCATTGTACAATAAGCATAATGCCATCTGATTCTTACAAAAGCGAATCATTTAAACAAGTCAGTAAATAAAACGGTAATACCCGCTTTTAGGCATACAGATTGTAAAACTGAAGTTTACTTTTCTTTTGATCGGTTCTGCGCAGCAACAGAGAATTAAAGATGCAACATAAGAATCAAAATGGCTAATACGCAAAAATTGTTATTCACAGTGACATGGCTACATATATGCATTATTCTATGCATATTCTTTCCGTTTTGTTGAATTTCAAGATGAAAAAGCACTTGCTTTCTACAGGTTCACAAAACAGCATAATAACAATAACAAGTGAAGAGAACGCAATGGAGGAGTTAGTCTGGATTAACAAACTACTTCCCAGGATTTATATCAACTTCTGGAGAGTCCCAGGTCCAGATGATGGGGACGGAAACAACTCCACATCATTCCAAACACGTGAAGGTGTAACTTTTGTTTGCTTCCCAGTCCTTTGAAAACAATTTACATATCAATCTTGCGTTTTAATTAACGTCCATATTGAATGTCACCTAGTCCGCCTTTTATAGCCAAGTTCAGTGTCACTACAAAAGAAAGCAATTTGGACGATAGTCACATGTATTAGCATCTATAAAGCTGTAATGGCATGGAGAGATCTATATAAATGAGGGGTGGGGGTAGTAGTCTCATTGGCAAGTCAACCAGACGAAGTCGCCGAGGAGCCATTTATGGAGGTTTTCCGCGCTCTGTTGGTGAAGGAGGACTGGTGGTTACTGCTAGGGCTGCTGCTGGTGCCATTCATTGTACTGGAGATGTGCGGGAACTGCGGGTGAGGAGACTGCACCGGGGTGCTGGGGCTGGGCAAACACGAGGAGGTGGAGGGGATGCCTCCCGCTGGGCTGCTCGCCTTGTCGCTCCCAGAGTCACTTTCTAGTTCCCCGCTGTTATTCAAGCCTTCCCGCTGGTGACTGATCTTCATTCTCTTGCAAGTAGGTCGCACTCGGTACTTGAGAGGGAGAGGCCCATTCTGCAAGGCAAAGAGAAGACCCCGGTAAGCACCCTCGCGGGCCATGGCCAGTCGCGACCAAAGAGGAGGCACGCTGCTAATTACCCGTCTCCAAGTATAAATGTAGGCAATATCCATTAGTGTGTAGTAGTCCTTCAAAGGCTCCTCTTCGTACATCACATCGATCTATTTAAGACAGTAATCCTCACGTTAAGAAGCATACAGGTATTTACCAGTAACACATGCTTTCTTTGAGGTGAAAGGAGCCCCAAAGCAATAGATTAGAAACTTTAAAATTTGCTATACCAAAAATGGAAGGGCAGAGAGGATTTCTGTAAATACAAGGTATTTTTAAAATATGTTACAGAACAATTTCTTGATACCTCAATATTTACAGCATAGAAAAGTTGCAGAGGGTCACCAAACTCTTCTGTGAGATATTTAAAAATACGCCCTTAATCCTGTCAACATAACGCACACTCTGGAAACACTTCGTGGTTACTGCTTGCTGGAGCTGACTCAAACAAGCAATCAAAAAAGTAAACTAATTTAAGAAGAGCGTTAACTAGCGTTAGCAGATTCAGAACAACAAGATTAATTAAAAAAAAAAACACTATTTTCTCTTAGGTACCTGGAAAGTATTAGGTATATCCATTTTACTCCGCAGGAACTTCCTTAGATGCATCACAGTCATTGCTGCTGGACAGCGTAAGTATCTTTTGTCATTCACCTAATGATACATTAAAGAAAATCAGTCTACTGAGAACAACCAATCACTTCCACCGAAATTATATTCTAATATTCTATGTGAGTTTTTAAAATGCATGCACATTATTTAATTATGAACTACTATGATTTTGAGGGCCGTTTAAAGATACGTCAGGAATAAAAGGTAAAATATAGTTCCAGAGAAAGTAATAAAAAAGTAAGTAATTGTATATGCAAGCAGAGTTACTATTCACACTGTATCTCTTTCCAAAATACATCTTTGTTGCATATTGATTAAAAAATATATTTTTGGAATGCCAAAAAAATCACATTCAACCCTAAAAGTAATACTGCAGGTGGTTTTTTTATTTCTCAAAGTTGTTTACATATATAGCTGTAAGAAGCTATTCTACCTCTTCTCTACCTAGTACCATAATAGGATGTGTGTTTCTTTTGTTCTGGATACAAATATCTATATATTGTGTTCAACCACAAACCTGCTCAAAAGATGTTTGTGTGTGCTATGTTTCCTCTAAGTAAAGGAAAGTCATTTACCTCTTCCTTTGATTTTTCTTTCTCCTTATTTCCTTTTCGTTCCAGTCTGTGAAAAGGAATGAAACAATTACAACAAATAATAAACGTAGCTGCTAACAGTCAGATAAACATAAAATATTGCCATTCTGGAACTTGCCTATTCTGGTCAAAGAATTCAATGGATAAGCTTATTATCTCGTCGTCTGTTATAATTCTTTTGTCTTCGTCAGCCACTTCTCCCCTGTCTTCATTAGAGCCATTGGCAGCTGCGCAGAAATTTCCACAATAATTTACATTTTGAAATTCAAATCAGGAAGAATGGCAATTCTCAGTAACAAGAAAAAAAGTCTCCATACTAAGATTATGAATTAAACCTACCTAACTGTTAAAACAATAAACTTTTATCATACTGAATTTACTTCTTAAAATTCATTAATGGTAGTACATAATTTGTAAGATAAAAAGGAAACAGCAAAGCATCTAGGTCTGTGCTATTTTATTAAAGTTGTGAATGAGAAACTATTACCATCAGCTGATGGATGAGCAGCGTAAAAATCCCTTCTTCTTTTCATTTCATCTAAATGGAAAAGCATATATTTTTCTTTTAGCATACACTCTGTAACTCCAGGTAGGGATACAGGATAGCAGTTTGTCTCTGCTGTTCTGCTCTTAAGAATATAAACGATTTAACTACTTACTTTTGAAAAGGCCTGGTACTAGCTTGTATACAATATCTTGAAGAGTTTTATCTGACCTAAAAAAAATAAAACCCAAAACATAAAATTAAGCAGATGAAGCAATATTTTAATCCAAGTGGCAGCTCCTAATTTGTAATCTTTCACAACAATGAGACATCTTCTACAAAGTGGAACGCTACTCCTGAAAACTTAGCTGAAAAACTTCATAATCAAACTAACATGATTTTAAATACTGCTATAAAATAAACCAAAAAAAAACCACCCTCAGCTGTGACATAGCAATTGAAAAATAATTCTCCCAGATTGAAGGAAGGCCTTAAAAAACATGTTTCTCCCCCTCTAAAAGAAGAGACAGAACACGACAAAGTAACACTGAAAAAATACTTCTGAAACAAGAAGTATGCTTTAAAAGGGTTTGACTTTTAGCTTCAAAACTTTTAGCAGCAGTTTTCACAGCAACGATCTATGGTTTGACTGAAGCATGAGAAATAGAAAGTGGAGATAAAAACTGTCGGATTGGCATACATGAGAATGGAACCGAGGGAAAAGGTATTGTATCAATGTCTAGCTTAGGCAAAAATAGAAAAAAAGACCAACAAAAACTTTCAGTCTCACATCCAGTGAAATCTTCTATTTCAATCAATGACAAGACTCCAAAGGGAGCGCATACGCACAGGTTAGCTTGTAAATTGACAAGTCCTTTCAGATTTAAATCAGAGACGAAGAGATAACATCAACACAATTACTGCTACTCTCCACTTATAAAGTAAAATAAGACATACATGATATACATTACATCTTTCTCCTACCTTATATTCAAAAGCGGTCGAGTTTTGTGCACTTGGACATCACAAATAGGACAATACTTGCTTGTCTCCAAGTAACGCACGATACACGTCTTACAGACTGGAAGTCAAAGACGTAAGGCTTTTAGTAATAGTTCTAGGTGATACTGAAATATGCATAGATAGAGGTGCGATTTTCTAAGCTATGCAAGCTAGTAAATCGTCCATTGTCAGAAGCGCGCTGCTTAAGCTAAACAAATACTCAAATAAGCTGCAATTAACATGAAAAGGAGACACTTGGAGTACATATATTATTACTTTAACAAAGACCGTAGGGCCGTTGTCAAAAAGCACTCGCAGGCGGCCAGGTCCCCCCTTTCCCACGTCTGC